TCGAATCTTCTGTGGAGGTTCCAAAAATGGAACTTATTGATTTCTTTAGATCTAACCGAGATGTTTTGTGATCCACAGTTGCAGGTCTTAAGTCCACAGCAAGTGACTGAACTAGATTGATAGAGTCCTCCACTGCAGCTGACCTTGATGAGCTTGATGCTGAAAATATCGCATAGCCATCACCACCTTCACGGAAGCTTCCTGACCTTTCCAATGAAGCATCCACATAGGACCCACGTTGTGCATTGAAGTATCCATGCCCATCAGGGCTACCAGAAACTAAATCGGATTTTGTACTAGATGCCATTGCCCCCAATTGAGGCAATTTTCATACTACTAACATTTTGAACACAACCTCAGGTGAAAACAACCTGGTCTTGAAACAATGAAGCTACAGGTAATATGGAATCTCAAATCACTGTACCTGTCAAGACAAACTTGAAAATGATTTATTTATGTCGTTCCAACTATTCAATTACACAGCATACAGCATGTCCAAAGTAAGAAGTAAAAGCTAGCTTTCAGACAAAAAAAAAGTTCTTTTATAAAATTTGAACCAGCATTCACATTTAACATAAATATCAGATGTTATAGCTTAATTTATTCATTTATTTGTCTACTAACCTAGCAAAAAAAAATCCAATAGTGCCACCTTCTAACTATGAACTACTTGATTAACACACACAATCTGCAAAAATAAACTGAATGCATTCCAATATGCCAATGCAGCACTATGGTACTAAATGCATTCATCAATATTCCATAACTCTTTAACAAATATGATCGACGCTGCATGAAAAATAGCAGGATGCAAATTGTGCAAGCAGCTCCGTGAGGCATCAGCCTAACCCTGCTGTTTTCCATACAGTGCTGGTCATATTTGTAGTGCTATGAAATATAGATATAGGTGGATGTAATTAGTACCATACTGCTGCATTTATGGAACTAGCCTCAGTAGAATTATACAACTTAACTGCTTTACATATGTATATATAAGCAAAGCAGCAGTGGCATATTTCGGTTTCTTTTAGCAGATTGTGTGCATTTATCAAATAGTTTATAGTCAGAAGGTGGTAGCATTGGAAAAACATATCTTTTTTGCTAGGTTAGTAGAAAAAAAAGGGAAATAAGTTAAAGCTATAACATCTGTTACTTTATGTTTTAAATAAACAAAAGCAAAAGTCCCTCTGCATATCCACCATGAAGGTTTGCAAATTGACAGCTAATTGCTAATTAAGAGAGAACCAAACAAATAATGCTATACAGAAACTAACTTTATGCTACTAGCAACTGGCCTGTTCTAGCACCCAATCCAAAGAATTAATGCTGCTAGCACCTGGTACCTCCGGTGGATCAACAAATCATGGTGAAATTAGGAATAGACAGATACATGTTATTACTACAAATAATGATCCAAAGAAGTACTTATTATCATTCACAAATAGAAGAATGAATTGATATTAGGAATAGAAAGATACATATCAAACTCACAGGTGAGAAACGATCAACACACTGACCATTTCTAATTTAGTCAGTGGCTCAATAGAAGTATACACTACATGATCATTGTGTATTCAGAGTTACACCTAGTAATACAAGAGAGGTAGGGATCCTACAGGAGAAATGTGACACAAACTGCTCCATTTCTTTTTAGTAGCATGAAGTTTAGTAAAAGGTGTTCTTAGAATTTCCAGCCAACAATTGTGCCTAGTCTTTCACTCATTCTGCTAATTGACATCTACACTCAACTACTAATACGTAATTTAGGGCTTCCTAATGTTATATGCAGCCCTGAGACCATTTTGGTGTTGCATCTTGCTGGCTGCTAGCATTTTTCTCAGAGCAACCCCAATTCAGGGGCGGATCTAGTAGAGGGACATGGGTGTACACATGTACACCCAATAATTTTCGCAAAAAGCTAGAAGTTACTAGGCATGGAATAGCCAAATAGCTTGAGGTAGTTTGGGTTTCGCACAGCAAACAGGGAAGAGAAGGGGGTGGGAATACCTGCTGGGCGCTCTTCGCCAGCGAAGAGATCGGCGAAGGCATCGGCACCTGGTGTAGGGCGGCGGCCAGGGGCGGATCTAGTAGAGGGGCATGGGTGTGTAACACACGTACACCCAATAATTTTCGCAAAAAGTTAGAAGTTACTAGGCATCGAATAGACAAATAGCTTGAGGTAGTTTGGAACTCGGTTTCGCGCAGCACACAGGGAAGAGAAAGGGGTGGGAATACCTGCTGGGCGCTCTTCGCCGGCGAAGAGATCGGCCAAGGCCTCGGCACCTGGTGTAGGGCGGCGGCGGTGGCGGGAGCCAACTAGAACCCGATTTGGGAAGGGGGAGGCTCGATCTGGGCTGAGATGCTGTCGGCGGTGCGAGCTAGGCGGCGGCGACGACGACGACGACGACGTACGGACGAGAGGGATGCGAGGAGGAGAACGGGAACGACACGACCGAACGAGTCAAGTGTGAACGGTTGGGCAAATATACGTGGAATTTTAGGGAGTGTTCGGCTGGGGTTTTTCAGTTGGAAGGTATTTTTTTCTCACAATATTTTGGTATAAACAGTGTTTTTCTCTTGTAACATTATATGTTTCTCTTTTCTCCCTCTTCTAAGTTCCAACTCCGTTCAATTTTCCTGTTTCTTTTTACTCTTTTCAATCATTTTTAATAAAATATACCTAATCTTTACCTTATCTATGTATTTTATTCTTTTATCTACGTATCAAATATTAAAGAGCAAAGTTACCACGTGCTTTTATATTTCGGTTCGGTTTGGCCTTTGCTCCTTCCATGTGTCAGCACGTGTTTCTTTAGTTGTTCATGTATCAATTGCCACCTTTTCCTCATTCTTACCAAAAAAGTTGGCATTATTACGAAATCAAAGTCAAGCAACAAATGTGAAAATAATAAAAGGAGATGGATCTACTGAAACAATTAAACGAGTAAAAGAGCCCCCACTCTTCCTATACATCTTTGTTCTCTCATGTTCTCGTGTTCATGTGATTATGTGAAAGAACTCGATTCCTCAACACGTTATTGACATGAGTTCTATCGAGCTAAAGGCAGCAAGTTCTCACACAAAACATGATGTCATAGCTCGCTAGTTGCTTGAAACAACCAAACGCATCGGCCCTGAAGTGACGATCTCCTCTACCAGCCCCAAAGTATCGAGTTGTCAAGGCATTGCAGCGTGGGCACGCACAGGAGGTCTATGAGCCCCGCCACCACCATGTGGGGCCGCGCCGAGTGCCACCACCATACCGAACGCACAGCCAAGTCATTGAGGCAAGGGGTCGGGCGTCGTCGTTGCCCTCAACAGGTGGGATTCGCCCACCACGAGGTGCGGACGCTGAGTGCCGCTGCCCCCGAGCGAGCGAGGCAATGGCCCAGACAACCGCCACCGCAGGCACGTAGATCTAGGCCCCATTCGCCCCGCCATGGGCACTACTGCCGTCGCCACAACGAGCGCGCGAGCAGCGCTGCAGTGCGAAGCTAGGCTAAATTAGAGGAGGTGCACTTAATTAGCATGTGGGTGCATATATATTTTTTCCATAGGGGGTGCATATGTAGTGAATTTTTAGACATAATCACTGTTTCTACAATTTTTAGGGGCGCATTTGCACCCCCTAATCTAAATGTAGCTTCGCCCCTACGGGTGAGCGGGCAACGGTTTATTCAAAGATATAAATGTTGTTAATAATATTTTCTACAAACACAGTAAGATTTAAAAAAGTTTGGCAGGCAGATTCTTAGAGCAACACTTAAATAGAGGCAGAGTGAATAGATGCATGCGCTAGGAGCCTGTTTGGAGGGGTTCCGGCGGCTCCAGCTCTGGCTACTGTAGCACCACTTTAGAGGAGCTGCCGGAGCCTCCAAATCCAGCTACTCTGGATCCGTTGGTTTCGCAGTGCAATTTGGAGGGAGTCGGAGCCTTGCTAGGTGCCGCTACAGTCGCTAAGAGTGTCTAACAGGACCAAGGCAGGAGGAGCCGGAGCCCCTAGAGCCATGCCAAACACTGCCTAGGAGTTCCTTTCACTGGGTCAACGGTACAAAGCTCCGTCCTAAATTTTCCATCATTACATAATTGTAGAGTATTTTTAATAGAACGCACACAAAAATGCTTGTACATTTAATATATATCAAGTGAAACAATGGCCAGTATAAGTAAGATGGAAAGTTTTACATAAAACGATATCTAAAAAAAATAAGAGTACATTAAAGTCTAATTTAGTCGTCTTCTTCCTTCAATCATTCAGTGTCTGCCAACGATTCAAGGTTTTGAAGACCGCAAAAGCTACTCGTTGCTTGCAACAAGATCTAGTACCCGCTAAATAGCATCGTCTGGTGAAAACCCACAAGAAACGCAGCTTACAATCCTTCGGCAGTAAATACAAAGTGTCGAAGAAACCGGACCGTTCCTTCTCGTACAACATACCAATTGAAAATGTTCCCCTGATAAATACATCAACCGCAAAATTGCAGAAAAAAAAGGAAGATCGATCTTACAAAACATATTGTTGTTGGCCCTTCACAGACAGCCTGTTCGCTTGGTCGTAAACGATCGTAAATTTTCAGCCGGAATAATGTTTTTCTCTCACACCAAACCAGCCAGCAGTAAATAATCCACGATCGTTTACGGTCTCCTAAATAGGCTGAGAGTTTTACACAGCCATTATTTTTTTCAGCCACGCGTGTGTGTGTGGGTGGGGGGTTGCTGCATGATTGATGATGAAACAAACTAGGCGATGGAACTCGGGCCAGGCGCGCGTACTCGTGGTAATGGACCCCTTCTGGGCCGTGTACATACGGCCTTATAACCCCATACCGTCCGGCCAGCATGTGACCATATACATTGAAACCATCCCATCGCAGTCTGTATATTTTCCCCAAACTATACTAATATTTCACTACACATTAATCCTCCGCTCCCTCCAATTAATCTGCACAGGTCGGTCACCTGCTGATAGATTACTGGAGACCGGCGGGCCACCCAAAAAACTAGGCGTCGACGTTGATGACGGGGCCTTCAAACCAGAACCGGGCGTGGAGTAGCCACGTGCCGACGCTGAGGACCAGCACGCCGCCGACGGCGACCGGCGTGTAGTTGAGGTTGTCCTCCGCGACGGGGTACGCCACCGGCAGGCAGAAGAGCACGGTGACGAGGGCCACCCAGGCGACGGCGACCCAGCCGACGAGGAGGCCGTACCTCCCGAGGTGGAACGGCCCCGGGACAAAGGATTTCCGGGCCGTCGTGACGCGGAAGAAGATGGGCAGCGCGTACGCGATGTATAGCCCAGTGGTCGCCACGGACACCATCGCCTGGAACGCCACCTGGCTCCCAAGCGACTGTCAAATTAAATTGAAAATAAGACATGGATTAAGTTTCAATTTGTTTCGAGCGAAATTTGATCGAAATTGATTGAAAACTGCTTGACCCACCGTGAGGGACATGATGAATGCAACCGTGACAGAAAGCCAGACGACGTTAATGGGCACCTCCTGGCTGTTGAGCCGGTACCACACACGGGAGAACGGCATGGCTCCGTCCCTGGAGAAGGCGTAGCCCATCCTTGAGTTGGTGGTGACACATGCGACGCCGCAGAGGAAGACGGCGACGGCGATGACCGCCAGGCACGCGACCGCCCCGGCGCCGCTGCCGTACCTCCCGTGGAAAGCGGTGTAGAGAGCCTGGGCGACGGCGTAGCCGCCGGCGTCGTTGCTGGGGCTCAGGAGGTAGGGGATGTCCGTCATCAGCGACGTCAATGCCACCAGGTAGATCCACCCAAACATGGACGCCAGGGCAACCGAGGTCACGATCCCGATCGACCCGCTCCGGTCCGCGCCCTTCGTTTCCTCTGACTGAATGCGTGCGTGGTTGCATGTTATCAGAATTCATTCAGAATAAATAATGCTCAGAATCCAGTTTAATTTGTTTGGATTTGAGGATATGTATATATTTATTACCATGTGAGCAGATGTGTCGTAGCCGAGGAGGGAGTACTGGCTCATGAGCAACCCAACGAAGAGAATGTATGCCTTGTCGTGGATTCCCATGCCGTTCTCTGTGTTGAAGTGGGTGAAGATGAACTCCACGCTCGCTCTCTCCTTGGCGACCGCTGGAAGCAAGATCACCATGACGAAGACACCTACATACATAGCATGCACAATCCATGCAATCAAAGCATGCATTGGAGTGGTCAGACTCTCTCTCTCTCTCTCTCTCTCTCTCTCTCTCTCTCTCTGATAAAACTGAGTGATCAGACTCTTGAATTCATCCCCCTGCAGCTGCAGATATATACCTGCTGTATTCCAGAAGACCCCTAGGTGACCAAACCATGAGAGCCAGTGGATGGGGAGGCAGTTGATGAGGCCGTGCAGGATGAGGATGACGCCGTAGATGGCGACCAGGACGTACTTGGAGGCCATGTAGCCACCGCCGTTGGCTCCCCCGGTGCCGAGCAGGATGATCACCTGGACAAGCTGAGCCAACGAGAAGTCGATGCTCGTCGTACCTGCCCACTGTTAATTGACCAAGTTGTTTATATATATATATATAGTTGACTGATGACTGATGACTGATGAGAGATCGAGCCACTAGCCCACTACTAGCCCATACTCAGACACATGATGCATGCTGCGATTCCGTGATGTCCATGCATGCAAGCACGGCGATACTGATGATTAATTCATGGATCTAGAATATTTTGATGAGGTGCAAGTGCAAACGAGTAACACTAAACTTCATGGATCAAACGAGCCACACATGCATGCATATACCATACCTGTCCCACGATGTTGAACCTGCAAAACAGAACAAAAGACTAAGCTCATCAATTTCATTCACGTGTTTCGCCTGTTAGCTTGCTTTCTCTTCATATACAGTTCGTAGCAGATCAAGCGTAGAGTAAGTGTTATATGTAGTGCTCGTTCGGTCAATATCTTACTTCTTACACTTGGGTTTCTTTTATGTATATATATATAAAAGAAGATTCTTATGCTATGCTTGGTTGTTAATTGTCACAAGAACATCTGTCCGAGAATTGAAGAAAACTAGCTATATATGTGTGTGTACGGCTGGAAAAACTGAACGAGTTCGTCGTGCACGTACTGACGCACGCACTCGGAAAATTCTAAACGGCCAGTAGTCGCAGAGATTTTTTTTTCCTTCTTTTTGACATGAAATGAAAGCAAGGACGACATTTATTTCAAGACGCCACACGGAACCGTCAACAAGAAAGATACGCAAGAGAGAAGAGAAAGCGGCAAAGATACGATAATACTACACGACGACGGCGTACGTACCATCCGGTGACCCAGGAAGCCAGCGAGGCCCAGTTCTTGCCGGCGAGCTTGGCGCTCCAGTAGTAGAGGCCGCCGGAGGTCGGGTAGGCGGAGCAGATCTCCGCCATGGACAGCGCCACGCAGCCGTTGAAGGTCGCCACCACGAGCCAGCCCAGCGTCATGGACGCCGGCCCACCGTAGCGCAGCCCGGTGTTGTAGGTCGTCGTCACGCCCGTGAGCACGGAGATGATGGCGAAGGAGAAGGCGAAGTTGGAGACCACACTACACATGTATATGCATGTACTGAGTATATAAAGAAACCCAAAAGAAATTGCATGAGTGCATGGGGATTTGAATCGAATTGATCGGAAGACGGAGTGAGCGATATGATTACGAGAGGCCGCGCTTGAGCTCCTGCTTGTATCCAAGCTGATGCAACCGGGCCCTGTCCGGGTCGGCGACGGGCAGCTCGACGGAGCGGCGCGGCGCCAGCGCCATAGCTGCCGTTCTCTGCTCTGTTCTTGCTGCTCTGTCGTCAGCCGCCCGGGGCCGGCCGGCTATAGCTGCAGCCCGCAGGTCGCTGCTACCACCTCGCTTGCACTACTCTGTCTAAGTCTCTAGTTGACAGGTTCAGTGCCGCTTGGTAGTGAGCTTGTTACAGTTTAATCGTAGAATGCACCAGGGGTCAACACATGCCGTGGAAATCGCCCATGATTGCGCCGCTCCGGCGTACGTGTCGTGGTGTTCTGGGATTCCATCGCTTCTGTCTGAACCATAATTTTTTTGACCCAAAAGGGTAAAGGCTACTGGTAGCTGACTCTTTGCCTCGATACAAAGGCTGTTCGTTTCGGCTGGATTGGCTTATAAGCCATGGCTAAAAAAACTGCTGGCAGGTTTAGTGTAAGAGAAAAATAATGTCCGTTGGCTGATAAGCCAAGGCTTATAAGTTGCCGAACAGGCTGATACATACATATACATATACATGCATGCTGTCCTTTTACTATACCAGTTCAACGAGACAACAACCCACGATTATACGAGTAATAGAAGTGTTAATTAGCTGAAGCCTAAAGGTTGTGGGGATAGGAACAGAGAATAGAATTTGGGATCGGCAGCACAGGATTAGGCAAGGAGCGTAGACATGAACAATAACATTGTTCAGGATTTATGAGTTTACAACCATTATATTGACATTTTCTGATACCCTTCCTCTCCTCACAGTCACAGATACGTATATACTCCCTCCGTATTAGAAAGAATGACACCATGAGATACGTGTTGGTCAAACTTTCTTAAATTTGACTAACTTAGTTTAGACGGAGATCGAGCATTGGAACGGTCCGCCACAATTCGTAGGAGAGCCTTCTTCCCCCGAGCGCTCCCTAGGGCGACTCGGGGGGTGACCGCCGCGGCGTCCCTAGGGCCCCCCTCCCGGCCCTCCCCTCCGGCCGCCGCGTGCAGCGGCGGCGGCCTGTGGTGGCACGAAAAATGGTGACCGCCGCATCCTCCCCCCTCCCACCTCTCTCTCCCCATCCCAATCCTCCACCACCTTGACTTCCCCGTGCTTCTCTGGCGGACTCACCGGCCGGTGGCCCGGATCCGGGTTCCTTTGAACCGGATCTGGCTCCTCCTCGTCGGCACGACGACGAGGGCCAGGCGGCCGGGCCTGGGCGGCGGCTTCTCCGGCGAGTTGGCGTGGCCAGCCAGGCGGCGGATCTAGCGTCTGCTGCTCCAATGGCGCGGATCCGACGCCTGCTGCTGCCGTCTGACGGGGTGCTCGGCATGGACAGCCTCCGGGGCCTATCGTTCCGCGACGGCCCCCCGTAGTAGCTCCTATGGGGCGCCGGTGGACGCGGCCATCGTCAGGGCCACGCTCGATGGGCGGCCAGGTCCGGGGTCGCCACCGGCTTGGCATGCCGGTGTCTACGCCACGGGGGCCACCAGTCACGGGGTTGGCGGCCACCATCAGGTGACGCGCTGTCACCAAATCCAGCTGCCGCTGCTCGCCCTGAGCCCGAATCTGCGCTGTGCCGGAGTCTGCGCCGCGGCTGTCGTCGACCATGGGGTCGGACTTGCGTGGGGGTCAGGTCTGCCGGCCATGGCTCTAGTCCCGATCGGTCCACGAGGCGCCGCTGTGGCCGCACCTCCCGGTCCCCGTCCGCGGAGCCATGTGGATGGTCAGCCACTGGGGGCTGGTGCGGCGGGGCTCATGGGACTCATGTTGAAGCGGCGGTAGTTGCACGGGTTCTAGGCGAAAGCTCAGCCCGGTTTCAGCCGGACGAACGACGGTGACGCCTTGGGCGCCACATACCTCCTTGGAGGCGTCGCTTCTGAACCTAGTGCTTTTGCGCCGACAGCACCGGATTCTGGGCGAAAGCCCCGTCTTAGAACCCTCTAAAGCCAGCGACGATGGCATCTAGGGTCGTTCCCTTGGGTGCCACCTCCTTCCTGAAGGCGCCGCTGAAGAATCCCCTACGGCCCATCGCTTGCCCCCCGTGTTGTCGCCGCCATTTGTGGTTCCTGCCGTTCGCTCCTGGTGGAGTTCCTCGCTGTGCCTATGTGTGCATTCATTCTACTCGCTTGGGTCTGTCCTGCAGCTCTTGACCTTGCCGTCGTCGTCTTGCTTATCTGACGGATGCTTTGTTGTCGTTGTCGTTGGTCTCTTCTCAGGCATTTGGCGCCGAGAGTGTCATGGCCGCTCCCCTCTGCGGATATTTTGCCTTGGGGTCGCTTCTTCCCCGGCGGATGCTTGGTCGTCGGCGGATGCGTTGCCGCCGTTGGATTTTGGGTCCCCTCTGTGGCAGATGCTTTGCTGCCGAAAGCGTGTGGACCCTCTTCTTGGCGGATGCTTGGCCGCCATGGTCGCTTGGTCTTCGTTGGCGAATGCTTTGCCGCTGTTGTTGCTAGATGCTTCTTTGTCTTATCAGGGTGGATGTTTTGCCACCACGGCTTTGTCTATCTTTAGGCAACCCTTGCGTGTTATTTTTATTGCAGGCTCAGTTGTAGGTCTTTGGTGTTGAGGGCCGTCGCTTTTCTTTCTTCTCTTCTCTTGTTCCTATGTTTATTCCTTGTGTTGCCTCCAAGACGTGTACGGCTCCTCGCCGTGACTCTCTTCCAAGGTTGTAAACTTTTCCACTTCTTTTAATGAAGCACGTGTTAATGCACGCTTTCGAAAAAATAGAAAAAAATATTAGCAGCATTTATATCACTAAACAAATTTATTATGAAAATATATCCAGCAATCCATCTAATGATAGTAATTATATAATATTAATATTATTTTATATATTATTAATCAAAGTTTAAAATGTTTGATTTTTGAAAAGTGAGAATGACATTCTTTGTGCGAGAGAGTATTGATATAGCACAAAGCAAAACAACACACACGCCACTCACTCCTGCCAGCTAGCTACACGCAACGAATCATGTTAACCCGGTTTGGGCCGAAGATGGACGCATCTCTCTTTGTGGGCCTTGCCACTTGTGTAACGGCTAGTCTGTTTGATTGTTGAGCAAGGTCACCTCGATACCTGTGCGGAGCAAGATTACCCTTGCTAGAGCAGGAGAGCCAAATTGGCTCACCCGGCCGGACAAGGCAAAGCTTGCTCAAGCATGCAAATCTACCAAGCACGCCCCTAGTATCTACGACTAAGCGAGGCGGCACTAAAAATAATGGCACAAAAAGTTTTATCCATTATATAACAACTAACAAAAGATGGTCCGCACAAAGATGACTAGCAAAATTGATTATGAAACACTCAAGAAACACTTAAGTTCACAAAAGGTAGGCCTTGGGAAAACAGTGTCGAATGAAACAAATCAATGATAACGTTTTTTTTTTCTCGAACACGCAAAACGCTTGCGCGTCTTTGCATTAAGTAGGAAGGAGTTTTGGATTACAAATATTGTGGCAGCGTTCTATGGGGCTTAATAAATTAGAGTGAAGCTCATGCCATCTCTAGTGCCCTAAAATTCTTAGGCTACTATACTGGAAAGTAAACAACCCATATGTCTTGCGCTTGCACCTGCTTGCACTCACTGCCCGGCCTCATGCTTGATCATGGCAAGTAGCTAGTGTAGCTGGGTGGCGGCGCCCCGGAAACATCTTGCATTCCTCTCCTTCCATAGCTCCTAGGCAGCTAGAGCGAAAACAGAGTCTGCACCGCTCCTATTGGTGCTGGTCCATGTCGATCTCTAGGAGGTCCACCAGTCGAAGATTGTGTGACGGTTGGGGAGGCCTTGTGTGTGTCCAAGCGCCGCAAGGACGTTCCACCATGCTTCCTCTACGACCAGGAGACGGAGGCCATAGACCACATCGTCGTCATAAATCAATGATAACGTAATTCCATAGCCTAATAATAAAGAGGCAATTTTTTTGCCTTTTTTTGTACCCATTTTTTTGTATGGCCTTCTCTGACTAACTCTGTGAATGTGAAAACGATTTCTGTTTGTATATCTACGACTCTCCTGTTTTTTATATATAATAACATACGTTGGTCTTCATGAGGTAACCTGCATGGGTACGAATCAAAATCCTAATCCAACACGAGTTCTAAGGTAACATGAATAGTTGAAATCCTATGCGTTGTTTTAAGGCTTCAGCATCCACTATGTAAAAAAAGCAAATAGCAAACTTTTCTGCGCACATTTTTTTTTTTGTTTCTAATACTGTTATTGATTTGGTCTCATTGGTTCAGTCCAGGATTTGGTATCCCGTCAGAATTCTGTTTTTCTTTTATGTGGACTAGGTAGCATGCCCGTGCGTTGCTACGGAACAGCTAAACTTTTGCATTAAAAACACACGGATCGCACGATATACAATCACATAGACAAAACGTACTTTGATATACTTTGTGTTTTTATGTCAATTGATTTGAGTAGTCATTCAGACTATTGCACCCATAATTTCTTTACATCTTTTTATTTATCTCTTTGTGTGCGCTTACTCAGACTATGTTTCACCCACTGTTGGTTCATTTGTTGCTTCAATATGCTCTTGAGTTTGGGTGTTTCGTCGTTGCTCATTTGTTAAATTCCTTCTATGGAAATTTTTATATGTCCATACATTACAATGAAAAAACACCATGACAATTAAAGTTTAAACATGTGTTGTATTATTAGAGCACGATCTAACATTATGTTTATAGCCAAAACTATTACTCATCACGCATGAACAATTAGCACAAAGCACGAAATCACGGAACTTGTCACTCAAAACCAAAAAGATCCACACAAGATTCTTGTTATCTTGTACGTATTCTCGTAAAGTAGTACAAGCACATATTTGCAAAAATTTTCAAGAAATTCTTCAGATCAAACAATATTAACACAATCAAATTATTCTTCTTTCCGGAACCAATTCTCTGTTGAGGTAATTAATAATTACAAAGAAAAAAAAGATGACGGCGTTCAGAAAATTAGTGCACAACAAGAATCAATGAATATTGGCTCCAGATCTTGAGGTTGTGGCCCGGTTTTCTTCTGTGCTTCAAGTGCTGAGGCTGTTCGTGGCTGCCATCGTATGGGACCTAGGGAGTCCACAGCCAATATCCCTTTTTAGTTAATAAAGCTTTAATTTTAACAACGTTGACCAGCTCCAAGCTCCAAACTGATCGAGCCCAGCTCCTCCTTGACGTCGTCAAACCTCACCATTACCACTGGAACCTGATAACTTACAATGCTCTAAACATAAGCAAAGTGAAAAACAAGTGCTTACCTCATAGAAGCATTGCAGCCATAGCAAATGCAGGTAAGCAACTGATCTAGATAACCTTATCTGAAACACAAACTGAAACAATTAAGAAGATGCCAAGAGAGAAAAAGATATCCAAAGCCTAAAACAAAAGCTTCACCACTAGCTTTGCTGTCGCCGACGAGCATCCGGCCACCCTCGTTGTTAATCATTTTCACTGAAGTATTGATAGCCTGCAACATCCATCTATGGTCCAAAGGTCAACATCAACGACGACCTCCCAAATGTGCAAAGAATATGAACAACAACTTACTCCCACGGCATGTCAAAGAGCAACTTGGTGATGAGCTTGAAGTTTTAGTAGCTGAGGTAGTAGATACACGTACGTCCAACATACTAAGCCTGCTCGGTTGCCCTTCTTCTACAGTCACCTGCAGCTGCTTGTTTTCTTCATGCAAAACAGTTAATGCTGGAGTGGTCGCTGCAGCAGCAGCCGCAACATTCACTTCCGAGCCTGGACAACCACTTCACAACTGCACAACCAATGTCGGAAGCCTGGACGAACTAACATTCACCTACACAATTCAATGATATCAATTCAGTTGGCCAAAAATTAAGGGGATTAAGTTACTTGTAGAATATCACTTGCAAACAAATTCCAGCTGAACTTTATAATCGTCGTCAATGAGTGGTAATTTTGTTCTAATCTCACAAACTAACATTTACCTACACAATTCAATGAGAGCAATTCAGTTGGCCAAAAATTAAGGGGATTAAGTTACCTGTAGAACATCACTTGCAAACAAATTCCGGCTGAGCTTTATAATTATCGTCAATGAGTGGTACTTTTGTTTTCATCCCACACAACATGAAAATAAGTGAGGTGACTGCTCCATGCAAGGTTTCTATAAAAACAAATGATCCATATTTCTGACTGTTTGTGGCAGCAAAAATGGTCTAAGCCTAACAGTGTTTCTAGTTTTGTACTTCAAGGTATAAATCAATACTATATAATATAATTTTGTCCTTTGTATTATATAATGTTGGTTGTAGTTAATTATTATACATGACTAAGTAAAAGGGCTTTTTGAGTGTTGTAGGAATTACTGATTTTAACGTGACAACAACAAATAAGCTTCAAGTGCTTTAACTATTTCCGCTCCTCTTCAAACATACTGTAAGAGTAACAAACGTTGTCATAATCAGTTGTGCATGAATCAAAGCATCTGGCACTTTTGTATTCACAAAAATCCTAGTGCTGAGAAAGTTTTTTAGTTTTGTTAAAATATTATCCGACCACCTCAGTGAGGCATAGGCCAACACTCTGTCCACTGCAGTGGACAAGCGCTCGTTGCCGTGTACAAAGGCTAGGGTGCAGAGTAACGCTGGTCATAGGCCGGATTTTGTTACATTGATTAACCTCCACCTCAGCAAGACGAGCAAGCTACACAGATAAACTATGCTTTGAGTAAGCTGATCTGTATAGTATGTTCATATATTCATACTTAGAACAGAGTGACATGATATAATAACATGCATTGAAAGTAACTATCGAAGCCCGCAAACAACGTCAGACGTTTGTGATAGGCCCTCGAAACCAGAACCGGGCGTGGAGCACCCACGCGGCGAGGCTGAGCACCAGCACGCCGCCGACGGCCACCGGCGTGTAGTTCAATGTCTCCTTGGTGACGGGGTACGCCACCGGCAGGCAGAAGAGCACGGTGACGAGGGCCACCCAGAGCACGCCCACCGAGCCGACGGCGACGCCGAATCTCCCGAGGTGGAACGGCCCTGGCACGAACGACCTCCTCGCCGTCGTCACGCGGAACAAGATGGGCAGCGCGTAGGCGATGTACAGACCCAGCGTCGCGATGGACACCATGGCCTGGAACGCCACCTGGCTCCCCAGCGACTGTACGTGTCGATCAGGAATGAAGAGAAATCACACGGTCACATGCATGGCAGACACGTACTTGAGAAGTTGAGAGATGAGAGCGCATGCACACCGTGAGGGCCATGACGAACGCCACGGACACGGAGAGCCAGACGACGTTGAAGGGCACCTCCTGCTTGTTCACCCGGTACCAGACATGCGAGAACGGCATCGCCCCATCCCTGGAGAAGGCGTAGCCCATCCTGGAGTTGCTGGTGACGCAGGCGGTGCCGCAGAGGAAGACGGCGACGGCGATGATGACCAAGCAGGCGATGCCGCCGGCGCCGGTGCCGTACCTCCGGTGGAAGGTGGCGTACAGGGCCTGAGCAATGGCGTACCCGCCGGCGTCGTTGCCGGCGTCCAGCAGGTACGGGATGTCGGTCACCACCGACGTGAGAGCCAGCAGGTAGATCCATCCGAACACGCTGGACAGAGAGACCGAGTAGACGATCCCCATCGGCCCGTTCCAGTCCGCCTTCTTCGTCTCCTCCGTCTGCATGCGATCGTGCTCGTTCAGTTCAGATGGTCATCAGAGAACAAAGATGAACGTGTGGTGGCCGGCCGGCGGCACTCCACGACGGCGGCGTGTGTTCAGTTCACCATGTGAGCAGAGGTGTCGTAGCCGATGCTGGAGTACTGGCTCATGAGCAGCCCGACGGCGAGGATGTAGGCCTTGCTATGGATGCCCATGCCGTTGCTGGTGTTCATGTGCGTGAAGATGAACTCGGCGTTCGCCCTCTCCTTGGCCACCGATGGGACGAGGATGACGAGGACGAACACACCTGCGACGTTCCAGAAGGCTCCGAGCTGGCCGAACCAGGAGAGCCACTGGATGGGCAGGCTGTTGATGAGGCCGTGAACGATGAGGATGGCGGTGTAGATGGCCAGCACGACGTACTTGGAGGCCAGGTAGCCGCCGCCGTTGGCCCCGCCGGTGCCCAGCAGGATGATCACCTGGATCAGCTGCGCCAGCGAGAAGTCCACGCTCGCGGTGCACGCCCACTGCGGCGCACGGCGATTCAATCAGCATACATGCATACACTGATGAGATGACTACTGTACACTACTAATGCCTGCACTGCAAAGATTACTGATCCTCTTTGCAAAAAAGAAGAGGAAGATTCTTTGATCCTGTGAAGTTGGAGAGAATGTTGTGTACTTGTGTACCTGCCCTACGATGTTGAACCTGCAGAATAGTGAACAGGACAGAAGATAAGTATGAATAAAACTTGATTAGACTACCCGTGACATGATTGGGAAGACGCCATGTCATCATCCTTGGCATCATGGTGAAAACAACAGAATTAAACAGGACGGTTAAGTTTCAAACAATAGGAGGACCCATCGGAAGCATTTCTGAATCTGACGGTTTTGTTGTATTGTTTTGTTTATTTAAACGAATCTGATGGTTTGTTGTTATTTGGCCTCGAGATTGCGGCGAGAGCTAAGCTGTAGTAGTATATTTGATTGTTATAAAAAAATCATGAAGCGAAGGAGAGAAGGTACCATCCGGTGACCCAGGACGCAAGTGGAGCCCATTCCTTGCCGGCGAGCTTGGCGCTCCAGTAGTAGAGGCCGCCGGAGGTCGGGTAGGCGGAGCAGATCTCCGCCATGGACAGCGCCACGCAGCCGTTGAAGAGCGCCACAACGAGCCAGCCCAGCGTCATGGACGCCGGCCCGCCGTAGCGCAGCCCGGTGTTGTAGGTCGTCGTCACGCCCGTCAACACGGAGATGATGGCGAAGGAGAAGGCGAAGTTGGAAACGACGCTAGAAAAAGGAACACATAGGATAGGAGCTCGATCAGAACTAGCGGCGGCCATAAAGAAACGAACGAGCTGGATGAGCTGCACCGGCACCGGCAGGGCGCACGTACGAGAGGCCGCGCTTGAGCTCCTGCCTGTATCCCAGCTGCTGCAGCCGCGCTCGGTCTGCGTCGGCGGCCGGGTCAGCGAGGGGCAGCTCGCCGCCGACGGTGCCCATCCCCGGCTGCGCACTTTGCTCCGATTCGCCGGGGCCCGGGCGTGCGCGCTACAGCCTACAGCTACTGAATGAGGAGACTCTCTCAGCTCGGCCGGCCGGTTGACGGGTCAGGGGTGGTAAAGCTTATTATTGTCAGAAACCTATACAAGTCATCCGTGAAGCACAAGGAGTCAGCAGAGAAGACTGGAAATCAGGACGGATACGCTAGCTGTCCCGGCATGTGCAAGCTAGTCCTGCGATTCCCTTTCGAGTGATTCGGCATCCTTTGACTAATGGCCGTGCTCCCACGATAGCTGCCATTTACAGTAAATAGCCATACCACAAAATGGACGATGCATGCTGGCCCACGTCAGTCCTGCTACGTTAATGGGCTGAATCCATAACGGGCCTGGAGTCCAAGGGCCAAGGCCTAATTGCTCCCTGTGTGAGCACCGAGGAGAGTAATTACCTATAGAGGGGGAGAGTAATCGGCACACCTGACGTCCGGACGGACAACGCGCGTCCGGACACTCGCGTACGCTGCTGCTCTGCCCCTGCCCGCGCGCCCGTCCACAACCCCTTCGCTCCCATACACATGCACGTGGGCCCAGCCTCCATCGGGCGCCCCTCTTCCCGCACGCCTGACACGCTCGCACCTTGCCCTCCCCGCCCTCATCCCCATCCGTTTGCCTCGCCCCCGCAAACGCACCCCCGCCCCGTCGTGCCCCCCAACGCGAGCCCTGTTGACGGTAACTAACATCAATTATAAACCATCAACATAACATGTGTTTATACTTAATTTCATCACCAAACATATGTATAGGGGTTTAAACTAATAAATTTCACGAGTTTTGATGAATCTGTGTTTTCAGCAGGGTTTATCCAGAAAACCGTTAAGGGGGGCCTATTCGTCAAAGGAAATTATGGAATTCCGCCGCGTAAACAGCGTGGGAAGATTCTACAAGACTCCAGGAGGCTCCCCACCGAAGCTGACCCCGAGGGGCTACCATGTGGGGCCGGCCGGCCCCACCTGCAGGCCATCCGGGGCCCTAGGCCCACCTGTCAGCCTCCGCGTCGCAATGTCGGTTCTCCACCACCTCCTAGGTTGCATCTACGCCGTCCTTTAAGTTGGTTTGATTCAAGGGCTCACGTTGGGCGCTCCGACCTATATATACCAGCCCCTATCACCCTCCCTAGAGCCATCCTGAAACCCTAATTCATATCATGAGGATCAGAGCCGGCTATGAAGAGAAGATTAGTTCTCCATAGGATCTAATCTTGTAAATAATAGTGAGATAGAGAGTGAGGAAAGAGTTTGGAGGAGGTGCCGACCTATTGGTGCTCTCTCTATGGCTTATACCTTGGTGGATCAAAGTTCTACTTAAGCTTGCCTTCGAGATTTCTCTGGTAATCAACTTCTAATTCAAGTAAGTAATTATTTATATTGTTCATCAGGATCACGACTCTCTTTTGAGTGCTATAATCTATAGACGCTCTAGGTTAAAGTATTAATCGTAAGTGTAAGTGTGGTGCTTAGACTTAGGTTAATCGTGGATGCACCCTGCATTCTGGATGGTGGTAGATCACGCGTGTGACATCACTTCTATATAACATGTACTATATAGCTTCATTGATTCTTTGTAGTATACCTCCCATCTGTAGGCGTAAGTAGGACACGGTTACGAAGGAAAGCATCCTCTGCTGGTGTCTTTCCGTAGTAATGTCCCCAGTTGAATAGTAGAAGGCATAGTTTACCCATGTTAGAGCTAGAGAACCTTAGTTTTCCTCTCTACGCTCGTATCTATCTCAACCTTGTTGCTACCCCTAGTTAAGTTAGATCGTAGTTAGTCTTACACGTTTTCCTATGGATATGATACTTGAAATACTTCTGAGTGAAAGCTACAGCGGTATCCGTGCGCTTGCGGATTTATCTATGTGCGTTAAATATACCAACAAGCTTTCTGACGCCGTTGCTAGGGAAATGATTGCTGAATTAACTTCGAGCCTAGCTTAATATTTTATTTTTTATTATTTCTTTTCTTTTACCTTTTCTTTTAGCATGGATTCCACTCCTATCTATCAATATGCTAAACCCACAAGCACAAGCCTAGAGCCACCAAAACCTTCAGAGCCTATCCTAACACCTGGCTATGAGTTATGCACATGTTTTATAAAATTGATACGGGATAAATCCTTATCGGAAGAAGGCAACGAAAATCCATACTCACACCTACAAGAGTTTGAACAGACATGTGCATGCTTGCGTATCGCTGACATGCCTGACAAAATCGTAAGATGGAAGTTGTTTCCGTTCTCTTTGACAGGAAGAGCTAAACATTGGTATAGTCAAACCGTAGGAAGTATGCAAGGAGATTGGGAAACATTATGCTCTAAATTTTATTTACGTTTCTTTCCCATCTATAAAGTGGTTAGCCTTCGGAAAGAGGTTCTAAATTTTAGACAACTAGAAGAAGAATCTCTTGGTACATCGTGGGATCATTTTAATGAACTCATCATCACTGGCCCAGACCTTGCCATTCATGACCCTGTACTTCTTCAATATTTTTACATGGGTCTTAGCAAGGATTCCATGGAATCCCTTGATACAGCCTCTAGAGAAGCTTTCCTTCATTTGTCTACTAGTGAAGCAAGGGGTATGCTTGATAAAATTAGTGGAAAGACTCCCTACACTAGCATTCATAATGAACTCTTTGAGAAAGAGAAGAAATCATCTCCCGATCAAGAAGAGGAAGTTCTGATAATAAATCACAACCACTTTAATCCCAAGATTTAGCTATCAATTCTGAACCACCAATGCCCCAAAATCTCACAAGAGAAGAAGGAATTTCACCTTTTGGAAATCCCTGTTGAAATTAAGGATGACCTCTTTGGTCTTAATTTTGGGAGAACATTAAATTCTCATCTTCATAAGAGACATTCGAGCGAATATAATTCAAATCATCTCAAGAAGGGATCTCTTAGAAAATATCTTTATTCCCATATAGGACATTAGAAAGAATTCAAGGATGGCATTTCAAGTAATGCCATAGAAGGAGAGCTGAGCCATCTAGAAGCCATTCCTATCCTCTCCCTTTCTATGTCCACATTAGATGTCTCATCTGAACCCATCTTTCAACACATCCTTGACCCCCGATGATCTCTCTTATGCTCTCTCCGAAGTCTCACGATGACCCTAAAAATCCACAAAGACAACCAAAGCATAGGAATCATAAAGGCCACAAGGATGACCAGAAAGAGCAACGACAATAGCTAGAATGTATTAAGAACGTATATGCCATTGCTAAAGAATGGATGGACAAGGACGAAGCCTTATGGGTAGAATCAAAACTTGGCTTAGATCCAAACAGTGAGCTTAAATCAATCTCTTTAATAAACAAGACTCATCCAAGTTTGGAGAAGGCCTTAGACGAGATCAATCCGAGAGTCACCAATACATGGGAAATCTTGGACAATAAAATGTCTAATGAATGTCATAGGTATGAAATGATGGAGACAATGTTTCTGTCTTTAGATATTCATGAAGAAACACCCTTAGAGCTTAAAAAGGAAGAAAACATCAACGAGCATAGAAGTTATTTCATGAACATCTCATCAAATCCATGCTCGCATGAGAAATCTCCTGAATTAATTGGTCTATCTAATATTACCACACATGAGATCTTCAACCCCCTCATTCTCTTTGTTCATAAAGACTTTGAAAGGGTGATTGTAGATGCATATGTTTATCATAAATATTGTAGATCTCGTTGTGTGAATCTTGAGATAGGTACATAAAGGTTGATGTTGAAGGAAAAACCACTTCACCAACTTGAGTGCAATTAGAAGGTTTTCCAAGGATGAGCTTTTGTCCTAAAGCAAGCACTTTCGAGAGATAACATAAGCTTTTACTTTTTGCTGTAATGCCCTTGTGAAGTGAGCATAGAAACTTAATTGTTACGGGTATTTTTGTCACTAACCATTCTAGGTTTGAAGCATAAAGAATGAAGGATGATGACTCAAGGTATGTCCAACCAATCATCATGCAACACTGAATCACATCCATCCAAACTTAACTTTACCTTACAAAATTCAAGCCTAGGGGATGGGCTTCTTTGAAAAATCTTATGCCATGTTGCTAATTCATCTTGGTTGTCTCTACCTTTAAATCATGCTCAATAACAATCATGCTCTTTCATCTTCAATTGAATAAATCTCTGCAATGCTTTCATGCTACCTTTGTTTACTATAGTATATTCGAAGTATGGAATATGTTCATACATCTTTTAAATTAAGCATGGAGCTTCATTTAGGGGTGCTGATCATACTTCCAAAGGCTTTTAAATTAAGCATGGTGCTTAGGTTAAAATATCTTTCTGAATCAAATTAGACATGATGCCTAGGTTGATTTTTGAACCAAGAATATGCTATAGTAGATACTGGTCATTTTGTTGTACTAACCATATGCAGAAAACTTTTAATTCAATATTGGTAAGTCACTAGATGAATTCAAATCGGAGATAAAGTAAGACACAACTCATTCATTATAGATATAAGAACTATATACCTCATTCAATATGGATGAAAGAACTGTAGGTACCAAAGTTCATTCACTTTGTCTTTTGTTGCAAGTTACCTTTGCCTTGAGCCATACTTGTATAAAACATGATCTCTATACTAAAGTAATCTCAAAACCATCTTTTTATTAGCATAGAGGGAAATTATAAAATTCTGGACAAACAATCCGTGTTTTAAAATTGTATATTCCATCGGGTATGTGTTGTCCACTGATCCTTTGCAGGCATAAAACA